AGGCGATGCTCTGCTGCCAACGCTCACGCAGAAGGCAAGAGGCGGCACTGCCGTCACCGTCACAGGCTTCACGGCTTCTTATCTGACAAAACTTGCTTCCGTGGCTTCTCTGCCGCTTGCTCATCGCACGTCCTAAGAGGTAACTGGAATTTACCAGGATTACGCAGGGAGCCCTCACAGCTCCCCCGCTGCGATTATTAAAAGTCCCATTATAATTGCAGCGTGAAAGATTGTACAGAATCAGCAGCCGCTGAAGCGAGAGCAGACGTTCTCAAAACTGGAAAAGCAAGACAGCACTTAGCAATGTAAATGTATCAGCTGGTCACGGAGATCTTCATTACAAATAAGCAATCGTAGAACAGGAGAATGATTGTGTAATGCTTAATAACTGTGAGCTTAATAACGATCCACATTTAGATCGCTATGGACTGACTTCTGTAGAAAACCCCATTCACCCCCAGAAGATGAGTTGCGTTGCTTGCACGGTGCTGATCCACAGACTGCTGCTTTCCCGACAGGTTGCAGGAACAATTGTATTGCCTGGTTACAGCACTCTGCAGATCGTCTTTGGCACAGGCTCAGCTTTAACTGATGCCGTCTAAAAGATTTGTTCCTCTACTGACAGGAAGACAAATCCTGTCTGCCATAGCTCACCATTTTCTTCGCTTTAACTATTAGTTTTAAGCAAAACAGTTGCCACGACCAAAGTTCTCCTGCTCCAGCTGCGCTACATCTACAGGTTGTCATTTTCAAGAATTCAAGTTACCGCTTCGGTTACCTTACACCGACGCAGCACTGCTAGTACCAGTTTCCCCCCCACAGGCGTTAGCGGAGTGGGAGGATTGTTCTGGGAAAGAGCAAGCAGCTGCTGAATGCTCCCCCCACCCCAGATCCTTCTGTCCCCAAAGTTCTCCTGCTCCAGCTGCGCTACATCTACAGGTTGTCATTTTCAAGAATTCAAGTTACCGCTTCGGTTACCTTACACCGACGCAGCACTGCTAGTACCAGTTTCCCCCCCACAGGCGTTAGCGGAGTGGGAGGATTGTTCTGGGAAAGAGCAAGCAGCTGCTGAATGCTCCCCCCACCCCAGATCCTTCTGTCCGATTGTAATTCCCGCTGAGGTGCAGTAGAGACCCTGCGCCTCAAATACAGGTGACGGGGGCTTGTCGGGTTTGTAAAATATAACAGACGCTGGATATTCGAGCCCCACAAAGCAGGCGGCCGCCCAAGCTGGCCGTCAAGCAGCGCCTTTACGCAGGGCCAGCGTAACTAAACATCTTGCGCCTGTTGTAAGACAGAATCGTGCACTTGCTTGTCACACGCCTTTACTGAACACGGCAAATACACGACCCAGCGCGTCTCGCCAGGCAGACGGTCTCCGGGCATTCCATGGGTACTCCTGCCTCAGAACGGAGCGCTGCCCAACCACCCCCAGCCCGCATCCTCCCCGGGGCAGCGGCCACGGCTCCCGGGTCCGACCTTGGCGGCACACAGAGCTCTGCACCTCGTTCCCTCACAATTCCTTCCCTTTATCAGCTAATTTCAGCAAAACCAGGAACACGCTCAGACTTCCTACCCATCCTCCGCAAGCCATCAACCCAATGAACAGTTACATTCTGTTTTGTCAAGGAATTTGGGTTCGCGGAGAGGCAGAGGAGACCAGCACGGTTCTGCTGGCGTTCCCGAGGCAGCCGTAATAGGGTTACATTAACCGTGGGAGCTGCCTCCGTGCTCGTGTTTACAGTTCTTCACTCAACTCGGCTTCCAAAGCACCTGAAGGAAGCAAAGCGCACACACCCAGCTTTAATTTCACCAAGAGAGTTTTTTCGCAGGGTGAAAGCTGAGACAGCGCCTGCATTGTGCGGGGGACCTGGCAACAAACATTTGCTGTGCAAGAAGTTCAGCGTAAGGACAAAGATTTGGAATTGTCTTTTTTAATCCTCAAACAAAACGGGTAAACAAGCGTTGTTAATGCCTCCTTTGTTGACTGCGCAGTTTCACGCCGGTGGGACCCGTCATTCAGCGAGCCAGAAGAAGAAAAGAAGAAAGGAACGAGAAGAGGTGGGCTGGCCCCCACCACCTCGCCGGAGGAAGCCCCGGGCAGGGGAGCTCAGCGCCGGGAGAGCACCGGGCTCACGCCAGCCTGTGTCCATCACGTACCTGCCGTCCTTCGAACCAGCCCCAGCTCCGGCGGACGGAGAGCTGCGGGAAGGATCTGCAGGGCGACAGACCAGTAAAACTGACAGCCGTGCTGGGCGCACCGGCAGATGCCGTTTTAGGCTTGTAAGTAATGGAGAAGTGGGAAGACTTCGACGTGGCTTCTGTAACTGCATCTCAAGCACCTCGAGATCTCCGAGGGAGCCGGCACGCGCGCGGAAAAGGGACAACCCCCCGACAGGGGTTGCTTGCGTTTCCACAAGACGTTGGACAAGGCTCTTAACAGCTCTCAGAAGCCCTGGAACAAGACTGAAGGTCTCCCCCGGGCAGTTTATCGGTTAAAAGGGAACAGCAGCAGCAACAGAAAGGCTCCGTAACAAATGGGAATTGACGGGCAGTTTTCCCAACGGTAAACAGCAACGGGACAACATCTGATGATGGCAAAAAGCTATCTAGAGTTACCGAAATGCAACTGGATGTAGAGGGCGCCAGGAAAAAAGTATTTAAAAAAAAAAAAAAGCACGTATGCCAAAATCCAGGTAAAAGCAATGCCTATGGAGAAGAGAGACACGTTTCCACCATCACACCGGGCACCGACACCGGCCCCTTTCCTCGGGCTAACCCGAGGCTCCTGGAATCAAACCAGCTGACTTTTGTAGAGGGCCCCACACTTCCCCGACTCAGTAAGATGATGCTTTAGGCAACACGTGCCCTCCAGCTTTAAAACTGTTGATAGAGAATCCACTATAACCCTCACTGAACTCTTCTCACGGTTAATGACTTCGCGACAAATGTGAAGAAATGCCTATTTCCAGTTTGACCTGCTCTAGCGTTGACTAGTGGCCTTTCTTAGACCACCCTCCTCTAGATCAAAAAGCCCTTTGATAAAGTTTCTGTTCCACGTGCAAGCACCTCCCTGCTACTCTTTTGTAACCTTCCCTTCGATAAGCTAGATCGGGCTCAAGGCTCTCACCGTAAAGAATGTTTTCCAAGCTTTTAATCATTTACATGGCATTTCTCTGGATTTTTAAAAGCCAAAGGCGTAGTCGTAGCATTCACCCACTGCAGCGACAGTGCCAAACACAGACGAGCTTCCCACTAACGCCCGAGAGGAACGCGCTGGACCTTTACCCCGCGGCGCCGCATCCCGCCGCTTCCCTGGTGTGCTGCTGCAGCCCAACATCCAGCGTTCCTGCCCGGTTTCTTTTCCCACCCGCAACCTTGCATCCACCTCACCAGCCACCCAGACCCTCCGCGCGAGGCAGCCACCACCAAGCTCGCTGGTTTTCCGGGGGGCATCTCTCTCCTTCCAGGTCGCTGCCAAGCCTTAAACGAGCACGGATTGCTCTTTGGGGTGAATTTGAAACACGTTCACCCTCCGACTATTGCCCTTCCACTGCCAAATCAAATCTTCCAGTTTTCAATTTGCCCCTGCGGATTTTTGTATGGGTTTTGTTAAATCAGGCAACAGACCTTGCAGTATCAATTCAAATGCCTTGCAGAAGCCCAAGCAGCACATCAGTGTATTTTCAACTAATCTGGAACATAAAAATATCACGTCGGACTGGTAAGATCTATTTTCCGTAAACTTACGTTGACTGACCCATTTAAGACCTACGTTAATGTATGACTATGTGGCCTGTCACCTTTAGCCTTTAAAACGTAGCTAAATAGAATTTCCCAGGTCCTTCCCACTGGATTTTCCTTGGCTCAGATTTATACTCTTCTGCTAGACTCGTGTTAGGGCAGAACAAACAGAAACTCGACCACCAAAGCCGCCAGGGCAGAGCGAGGAGCAAACATAGCTCGCGATAGGATATCCAAGAGCCACTTCGGCAACGGTGAACTCCAGGTTTCCCCGGCCAGATAATTCACCCGAAGAGACGAAACAATCGATGGCAGCGAAAAAAGTCCTGCAGGACGACAGGCCTCTGCGGGGACTTCTGTTGCACCTCTGCTGAAACAGCGAGCGCTGAAACGCGAGATGCCGCTGCTGGCAGCGACTGGCCCGTGCCCGCTGGAGGAGTAGAGGGAGTAAGGCAGCCCCAGCAGCGCTCTCCATTCCCAGTGACTACACGGTTCCTCGGCCTTCGTTTTTCAAAGGTGGGGTGTAATCCCACACCCAAGAAATTCTTCTACACAACCTTCTGGGGAACATAGTAGCTTCGTGGAAGAGAGAAGAAAAACCCCAAGCTACGGGCGGTTTTCACAAACAGGACCCCAGTATATCGCTCCCCTTTTTGCTGCAATTCAAAAAGGTGATCAGCTTTGCGGTAACGTTTGAATTAGGAACCAGTGTCAGAGCAGCGTTGTACAGCACCGCTGAAGGATATCGGACACCAGGACACGAGTTCCCTTTGTTTAGCAGATCCCGAAGCCGCAGACCAACGTGCTGGAAGAGCTGGAAAGATTCGTGCCTCAGTGCATGAAGCATACCTTACATTGTCTCTGCACTGTTGGAGGCCGACTACGCGATACACAAAAACAGAAGAGAGAAATACCCTCCTCTATTCCAAGACAAAACCAGCATTATGCACAAATCCCAAATGGATTTCTTTTCCCTTTTCATTCAGGGAGAAGAGACTGGATTTATTTGGGTTTTCCCCCCATCTGGTGCACATTCACAGCAAGTAAGAACGAGTTTTGTTTCCAATACTTGTGTCGGATCAAGACCTCCGGGAGAAAGAAAAATCTGTGTTTTGAGAAGCCACGTGTCAGTTCCCATTTCTGGCACTGCCGCACGCAGCACAAAAGCACCCAAACAAACCAGGATCCACAGTATAAATTGTTTCACAGAATATACATTTTAAAGTGACAAGTACAAATATTACAAAATGAACAGAATCGCTTTTAAAATACTTATATTTGCTTAACCGTTAAAAACAGACACGTACAGAAAGAGGTAGCAAAGCTAACAATTTCCTGCTGCTCCAATTAGTGTTGCCTGCGTGCACTGGGAAAGTTACTGCGGAACCGCATCCCCGGCCATCTTTTCTGGAATAGACTGTAGACAGCTTGCAGTTTATTTCTGACAATGCTCTGTGAAGGACTGAGGCAAACCCACAGGCTCACTAGCAGCTGTTTCACGTTGTCTGGCTTAACGAAAAGGCATTGAAAGAAAAAGGTTGTCTGTGGTTTACTTCAGAGAGCAAGAGAGAGTGAGAGAGCGAGCACACGAGCACGCACACGCGAGGGAGACCACACACAAACCTAAAAGAATACCGGGAAGTTGTACTTGCCCGGCCACCGCGAGAGGAAAGTACGACAGGTCCGTGGGTCCCAGAGTTAGGATAGACAGAGTTTGGTATTAGCTTGGTCCCATGGATATCAACATCACTTGACAGACTCAAAGCTAAAAGCAAGGCAGAAAAAGTTAAGGGAAGCAGAACTCCACATGTTGCACGCGTGCACTCTCTCTCACACCCTCTCTTTCAGGCTTTCTGAGGTGCCAGCAAGGTCAGTTCAAGAGGTTCTCCCATCCAACATGTAATAGCGATACATTAAACCTATGACCAGTGCTCCGAAGATGGGGATCAGCCAGGTTGACCAGAAACTATGGGGAGAAAAAACAAAACAAGAAAAAAATACACACAACATAAACCGGAAGAAAGTATCGAGTTAATAATTCATTCAAGACGTTCATCACGTATTACATGTCTGTTTTCATCTAGGGAAGCCTCGGGACCCGTCTCCCATCAGCTCACAGACCAACCACACGGGCCCTGGCTCACAGGGCTGGGCAGCTCTAGCAGTCCCCGTGCTCAGTGCTCTGCCCAGCCCCTGCGAGAGGCCCCTGCGCCTGCAAGGGTGGCTCGGTGGCTTATAAAATAGCAGCTGAATTGCTGAAGTTTCCAGCCTGGCACATACAGAAACCAATTTGGGGTTTTTGTTGTTGGTTGTGGGGGTTTTTTTTCCCCTTAAATAAGTCAGACTGTAATTTGTGCTATGCAAACAGCAGAGTTGACTCAAGGATGGAAATTGCTACGGCTATCCCACAATAAATCTGCCTCACTCATAAACCAGAGGCCACAGGCTCACCTTCAGCAGCCTCCTTAGCAAAAAAGTTCTGCATCAGCTACGAAAGACTGAGGCCCTGTTCTGGTTGTAAGCACTCCTGGATTTTCAACTAAATGGGGCTGGTCACAGCAAAGATCCTCCAAAAAAAAATGCACATCACTGTGTCACATCACCCCGTGGCCTGCGGTGACCACCCAAACGATCGCTGTAGTGCGAAGGGACTGCAGCCATAGTTGTGCAACACAAACACGTTGGGCCAGAGAATTCAAGCTGCAGAATACCAGGATGCCTGTTCTGCCCAGCGTGGAGCAGGGGACTTTGCACCACCGGCTGTGTCTCCACATCCAACGAGGGAGGTGCACGCCCTGGCAGCTAACTCGGTGCGCTGTTTGGCAACTAATTTTGGACTATCCGCTGGCTGGAAGGACAGTGCGGTAATATCCCCGGGGTTTTCTTCCTGCCCGTTAGAGTTAATATGCAGTTCTACAAACAGAGAGTCCTACCTCCTCAATTTCTTACTCTTATTTTAAGAGGATACTATACCTTGCTTGGCCTGAGGATGTCATACTTGGATCCTGAAGGAGGAAAGAGGGAGTTAGCAGGGAAAAAAAGAAACGTTAAACATGTGCTAATAAGACTACAAGACCGAACATGCGATTACAAATACGGAGGAAAAACAACCCTCCCCTCCTCTCCCAAACACCCTCTGTCACAAGTGCGGATGTTTCTGGGGATGTTTGCCCTCCTCCTCACCTCCACATTCCTTCCATCAATCCGATCCCTCCCACCCGGTCCTCAACTTCACACTGGAACTTGCACCCCTCAAAAAAAAAGGTCTTGCTCATTACCTCGCAAACCAGTCTGTTCATCTTATATGCTATGGACGATAACCGGCGCTCCGATAGGGCTTCTTGAGAGCCTTAGTGCTCGCTTTTCTGCCACAATGCATTCAGTGGCGCTCCGAGAGGGCTTCTTGAGAGCCTTAGTGCTCGCTTTTCTGCCACAATGCATTCAGTGGATGCTAAACACTGACGCTTATCTGTGGGGAGCTACCTCTGAGCTGCGTCACAAGAGTATACACGTACAACTTCTTTCTTTTTTTTTGTGGTTCCCCCCTATTTCTTTCTACATTGCTGACTTCTGTCTCTTGCTATTTTTACATTGTACTTGGGCCTGCTTTTAAAACGGATGTTGTACACTGGAGAAAGACCTGAGCTGTACATAACTCACTGGACTTTCTCCTCAGAAGAGAAAAATATTTGAAAAAAAAATATTTAACTCATATCCAAAGGAGCTACTCGGATTACTACTTATTTCTATGCACATTTTAGGCATGTGATTCTGTTTATGAAACAGAGTTGAACCGAACAATAAATTTTAAGGTGAAGATATGCATAATCATGCAGTCCCGTGTTGTAACTAAGCGTAGGCTTTACCCAGCCTGAGTTATTCTTTCTACAGCTGACTACAGCAAGCAAACGCTCCCAAGGGCTTCAGTCGCCGCCCTCTCTGCTGACAGTTTCCTTCTTGATTCCCGCTACTCTGCGAGTGGCCCTGCTTCGAACGACATCTAATGAAAGCGTTGTTGAAGGCAGAGCTGCGCCTGGTCCAAGCCTTCACGCCAAGCGAGAAGAGAAGCCAGCTGCAAGGCACATGTTTACCTCTCAGATGGGATTCTATTTATTACCATTTCCCTCTCCCCATCCATTTCAAAGGCATTTTTGCAACACTGTGCCCTGTTCTAATCCAGGAATACCTGAGTTTTAAGCGACACCAGTGATTACTAGGGCAGTTAACAGAGGATTCTTGTTTTACAGCCAACCCCACAGTGGCTGTGCCCGTCTCCTGGCTTGAATGTAACAACGCTAACAGTTCAGTGGTCAGGACATAGCGAGTAATGCAAAAAAACGGTCTGTGGCTCAAGGTGTGGAAATAACGTTGCTGATGTCAGGGGAGAGAGGGCACAAAAAAACACTTCCAATTTCACACTGAGGTGACTGCTGAGCTTCAGAACAAAAACAAAGGTATAATTTGCTTGGAAGATTTATTCATTACCGTAGTTTGTGTAAACATAAAGCCACAAGCTCCACGGGGGGGGGAAGAAAAAAAAAAAAGAGAAGTGTGGCTAATTCTTTGTTCATTCCGTGAGCGTAATATTGTTTCCACAGCATTAAATTAAAACGGAAAAGTAAAACACTAATAGCTTACCTTAGAACCTTCTTTTTTACGATCGTGCTGTCAAGGGGAAAAAAAAGAAGAAGAAAAAAAGATAAGCACTGACTTCAAGAGAAACCTGCAGTCTTTATGAGGGAACCCGGGACTCGGTTTTCAAAGGAGTCGTTCCTTCAGCACCCGTCTTTGTAGCAGGCAGGAAGCTGGCGTTCGTGCCGTGCCCCTGTGATCTCTCACCCTCCTGAACTCTAAATTACAAGGCATGGGGAAGTTACGGTACCACCAGCTAAGGAGGGAACCGATTAGATTAGCTTCTTTAAGCGCCCCTGACTTAATTGTAGTGAGAAATCTGTTCTGAATGGTGGAAAAAGAAGACTAATTTAGTTTTGTTTCCTCAACAGAGATCCTCTTTCCTCAACAGAAATCCTGGACAACAGAGAGACTGCCTAAAACCCGTAACTACTTACTTATTTCGCAAGACACATCTCGGTGTATGTGTTTAGTGGGTTACACGCAGGAGAGTCACACTTTTACACAGTCCCATCCTGTGTCTGAAAGAGGCTGTCACAGCCAGCTGGTCCTTACCGGGTGGATCTCCCCTATGTAGTACTGCTTGAGCATTTCCCTGGCATCTGTGGAATGCCCAACATCTTCGAAGCTCTCTGTGGCATCTCTACCAGCTTGTTCGAGCAAAACCTCTTCTCCACCTGGATGCTGGAAGAGAAGACTTCAGGTGAGCAAAGGGCTAGATGCAAAAAAGGTACCAAGAGTGTCAGCAGCCTTCCTTCCAACCTCTGCCATTCATCACGGATGCCTCAAACCAACATCACCAATAAAGTCTTCCAAAGATTCAATTGTCCAACCCCTCCTTCAGGAGTTCACAGGCAACGACGTGCGCTGCACAGCCTGGAAAACACCTTGCATAATAAAAACCCTTCCAAGGAGACAAATCCCCAACACGCACGGGGAAGCACAGCTTTGCCCCCCACAGCCAAGCTATCCCTTCTGTGATTCTGTAACAGATTTGGGCAAGAAAATAATAACAAAAGAAAGGATATCCTCATGTAGCTTTTCATGGGCTTCACTGCATAAGTCAGACTCCCTTGCTTGCAGAGGGGCCTCTCCTGCATGATTTTCTCAAGAACTTTCCTGTTCAAGCACAAGACAACACTGCCTTTACAGACACCAGTGGAGGAAAGGATATTGTACTTCTTCAGATACTACAAAAAAGTAATAGTATTTGGCTGACAGCCTCTCTCTGCACATAGCTGTGCAATGAGGAATGGAGAAGAACAGAGAACTGCATCATGTTTTCTAGTGGCATAAGAAGCTACGACTCTAGTGTAGCCCCAACAATACTGAACTTGATCCAGTGTGCAACTACTCAACAACCAGGGGAGAGGGAAAAAAAAAAAGCGTCACAAAAAATTATAGTTTGACATCATATACTGATTTCAGAGATTCAGAAGTTACAACAACAAAAGTACCAAATCCACAGGACGCTCCACAACGACACTGGCATTTCTGTTGGCGGCGGACAGTCACAGACAACTGTCAGACCAAGCGGTATGAACTGACAAAAAAACCTGGTGCAATTCTGTTTTCCTTGATGGGTTGGGCTCTTCTCTAGCATAATTCCAGGAACAGATTGGCAATGGAAAGCGCTAACCACAAAGCCAGCAAAGTACAATCTCTTTACAGTGTGAGTGAGAACAAATAGTTCAGTTTAAACTATCAGCTAATCCAGTTAAACCAATAAAGTGGTCAGGCTTCCGAGCGCACACGCAGGGACTAACCCAGTTTTCCAGAGCATCAGGCAACAAGCACTAAACACGCTAGTTGAGAAGATGAGACTTGTTCACTGCTGCCTGAGATGCCTCTAACAGCTACAAGCCTGGAACTGGAGAAGAGATGTTAGACTAAATTTCAGATCAAAGGACTAACACGCCTGTTTTTCTCTGTAATATCCTTTTCCTTCCACAGACACAGAAGAGTTGTCATTGCCCCTCTTCCTTCAGCTTGTCTGTTTTTGCTGCCAAAAGTCTAAATATTCCCACTTGGCTCTCACACCTCATACCAAACATACTCAGTATGGACACAAAAACAGTCCAGTTGTTTACTCCAGTGAGTTGCTGCACCCAACTCTGCAATCCTCGTATCAGGGCTCTTTATTCTGAATAAATCCCTTTATTGTCCAGGTATGTAACAAAATCAACGTGGAGCTTTCTCAGCAGCCATGAAGGGCAAAGTCTGCAGTCCTAGGACACAGTTTGGTTAGCAGTCAGTTATTAGATCGCCTTAGCTGTAAAACCAAGTGAGGCTCCACTTTGCTCATTCCCTCCATGCCTGGCTACAGGTCTTGCTGCCATTTCTCCCACACTAACCCTTGTGCTCACTTGGTCTCAGAGGGAGTCAGATCAGGGGCTACCCCGGCAGAAAACCCACCCTACAAAAAAAAGAAAGGGAGGGATTATCTGCTGGGGTAGCTGTGAATGAGCTCACTACAGAGTTGGATGCACATCTCTGTTTACGCAAGGGAGTCAACGGGAACACAGGCTGCAGCAAGACCACCCTTTAGATCACCTCTGCGCCCCTTAGATCACACTCTCAGACTTGGCTGCAGTGATAAGGTGCTGTATATATATTGTCTATGCATATTACTCAGAACAACTGTCCAATTTTCAGCTATTTTATAAGCACGCTTGCAAAGATCCACAGAAATTAGGGGATGGAAAGCTGGCCACTTACTTTAAGCCTTCTACAAGAACTCCTTAGGGGTGTCTCACCAGAAATCTCTTTTCAGATGGAAAAATATCAGAATGGAATTTCAAGAAGATAACCTTGCTTTCCAAATCATCCATCCTAAAAGGGCAGACAAAAACCTGCAGTAACAGGGAACATGCAGTGGATATTGGCTTTCAGTGGCATCCAATCTTTGCATATACAAGAGACAAGAAGAATGGTAAAGTCCAAGAGACAAGGAGAACGGTAAAGTTTACCCCTCTTTGCATCTTCGGGTCTGAAGCCTTTCTATGCACTTGCTAAATCCACAAGAAAGAAAAAAAAATTATTTATTCATGCACATCTGTCCTTCACTGTAATCACCAAGCCAAAAGAAAAAAAACTTCAAAACCTTTCAGAAATACGATATGCCAAAATGACTCCCTAGTCTAGACAACCACACCTGCAGCCAGACAATTCTTACCTTGTCATACCCGAGCAAACGTAAAACCAGACTATTTATACAGGAAGTCATTTACTCTGCCACAAAACTTCTCAAAGCTACAGCTCCTGCAGGAAAACATGAAAACTGCAAGTGTTGCAAACGTGACCAAAAAAAAATACTTCCAGAGGAAACAATGGCTGAAAAATGTCTGTTTCTGAAAAGAAACGGACAAAAGCAAACAAGAACAAGAGAGGTGGGCCCAAGTGCCAGTCCTCAGAAGTTTCCCTCAACAACAGTAATAGAACTGGAACCTCCTTGTCACTGGAGCCTTCAGCATACACAATAAATAATGCATACGTTGACAGCAATGTTAATACTCTTGAAGCACCAGCTCTGGAAGGGTATGACCAACGCCACTGAGCAGAGAAAACAGTTTTACAGGGAGAACCCCGTCATTTGGAAGTGAAAGCACAACAGGCATCACCAGTACAAGGCACCCTCTAGAGTCCCTGGCCCAGGCAGGGCAGAAGGGCGGCCAGCCCACTCTTGCCACAGTCAGGAGATTTAGGGGGGGAGAAAACCCAAGACTTCCTCATGCTCTGCGATACTCACAGCTACAGCAGTTGCTCTCAAAAGCATCATTTCAGAGTGATCTTTGACTCAAGTTCTCCAAATTCCAAACTGGGTCCAGAGAAGAACAGCAGAAGTAAGGAGTTGTACAACCCAATATTCACTCCAAGCTCACTTTAAATGTCACTGATGCTCTAAGGTGGCGAGCAAAGAAAGTTGGCCCTTGATGACTCGCTCCCCAATTAGCAGCTCATATAGTCCATCTTCTGCGTTCAGCGAGCAAGGTTGTGTTTATCCATGAGACCTCAGAAGATGCTCTATCTGTGTAGCCTTTAGAACGGATGTGGAGCGAGCAAAAAGCAGCAGCAAGTCAGAACCGTAGGCACGCAGCAAAGGCTTACGAGAGCGCAACACAGAAACTCACTGCAGAAGGCGAGAGCCTAGAGCCGCCTTTTCACAAGCTCCGAGTGCCTGCCTGCATACGTCTGGCCGGCAGCTGCTGTTACAGACCCACTGTAAACTACAAATGAGCTCAGAAGCAACGCTAAGCTCTACGACTAATTAGATTGCTGGATCAGGTAAGACACAACGTCATCAGGTTGAGGAGGGATACAAAAGCTTTCATTCCTAGCCCCCAGTATTAGAGAAATAAGCCAGGAAAGGGAAGAGTATTACTGTGCAAGAACAATGTGCCAGTACCATACAAGCCAGAAAACAAGGACAAGCAGCCACCTAGACAAATGGCGTTTGTCAACCACACAGCCTTCAAAGCTTGTTTTAAGACATGGAATAGGTTTCCCCGAAAACATCTCTGCAAAGCTGGAGCAAGTCAGCATGAGCAAAACCAGATCTCTGACATTCCTCCTTCTCCTTCGCAGAGTTCTGGTTTCAGATACACCAGAGTACACAGGAATTAAATGCAGAAAGACAAAGAAGGGTATTCAATATTGGTTTCTTACTGCTGGTACAGCAAGGAGGTAAGAATCTAAAAACTTGCTGCCTCTTTGGTGTAAGCAACCATCTGATACTTCCCTCCTCTTTGCTTTCATCTCAATGATAATGCTCTTAACTACCAGCTCTTCTGAGCACAGACCTTACCTTAGCTATATACTTGCCTGGAAAGAGCATAACTTCTGTTAGAACCATATAATTTTAAAGAGAAGCTGTCAGCAGTAGAATACTTCCTTTTTTGAAGAACATTATACTTGAAACCAGCTGACCAATTTGGGTTAGAGTTGTCACAACCCAGGCTCATTCCACTCGGAAACCGGTTCAAAAGCTTTCTAGTCACACTTGTCACAGGTATCAGAAGCAGCAGCGCATGCCAAGACACAAAGCCGTGGTGGCTGCTGTGTCTTGTGGACTCAAATAACAGACAAACCTTACAGGCTTTCTGAAGCATAAGAGATTGCAGTCCCTCAGAAACAGCTACGAAATTTCAGCTGCCGTCTTTGCACATCTCCTGCATTTTGTTCACGGTCTTGTAATTCAGTAGACTTTTGCTATGTGATAAATGCCTTAATTGTTGCTCCTATTACACAGTAGGTAACATAAAGTACATTGGAAGTTTAAACTGACCTATGCTTCAAACAACGTACAGATTTTGAGTTGGCTAGCTAATGTCTGACCTGCTGTACCTAGTTTGCAGGAATTGTGAAGCAAAATTCAACAATCTTTTAGCAGTGAGGCTTCTTTGAGATTACACAATCACTCCAAGGTAACGCTCCAGTGGAATTCAGCAATCCTGTTCAAATAATCTGTGACCAAAGGCCAGAAAAGGCAACAATTAGACACTGCTTCTGTGACTACACAGGATCAAGGGGAAATATTACCCACTGAAACCCCAATAGCTGCAGTTACAGCAACTCAGAGCTCTAAAGCAGAACAGTTCATCAGACAACTCTAACTTTTAAACAAGACAAATGCTCCTGGTTCTGATCAGCTACACATTGTTCCCCTGTCACTCGACTGATTACAG